CATGTGACACTTAAGACTGGAGTAATGGCTGCTGAAAATTCAGCTTTGCCATCACTGGAATAAATTATATTTTAAAATATATTAAAATAGAAAACATTTTTGTTATTAAAAAATATTTAACATTATATAATATATAACATTTTTATAATATATACAATTTTTTACTGTATTTTGTATCAAATAAATGCAGCCTTTGTGAACGTAAGAGACTTCTTTCAAAAACATTAAAAAATCTTACCAACCCCAAACCTTTAATCTAAAACCTTTCTGATATTTAATATGTCTAAATATATATATTTTAAATGATTGTAACTCTGTAGTTGATTTTTATAATCAAAGTAGTATTTCTCTGACACAGAAACAATGGGGATCTTAATTAGCATTAAACTTGAACGGATAAATGTAGGTTTCAAAAAGCTAATGCAACATGCTAATTCTGCAGTTTGAAATCATAAATGAACAACAGTGTTTAATAAATGCAATAAAAGAAGTAAGAAGTAGGGACTTCTATGTATGAACTGGAACCAGTGAATTAGTGGTTAAAGCGAATCAGTTCATTCAGATGTAATGGTTCACATGAACAAATGTCCACTTGGCTATTGAGCTATTTGTGCAAACAATGTGATATATGAAATGTTTTAACATTTCTTGTTGGATAAATTACTGGTCATTGCTGGAAAAGCTACAGTATTTGAAATAGCAGTTCAATAAATAGCAAGCTACTGGAAAATGTTTGTATTTAGTTAGTTTGCATTTGCAGACTGCATAAACAGACAGAAAAGCACGCCTTGGAAACAGAACTGTGAACACTTGCACTCTCTTACTGTATGTTTTCAGGTGTGTCGACTCGGGGGGATCCGGCACCTGGTGGATCTGCTTGACCACAAAACCCTGGAAGTTCAGCGGAATGCTTGCGGAGCTCTGCGAAACCTAGTGTATGGAAAAGCCACCGACGATAATAAAGTGTGTGTGAGGAATTCCGGTGGAATCCCAGCTTTGGTTCGTCTGTTGAGGAAAACGGCAGACACTGAAGTGCGAGAGCTCGTAACCGGTGAGTGGGTGTGTGGGGTCACATGACTGACTGCCATAAGAGAGTCTTTCTTTAGTTCTTTCTCTCCCTCTCTGTTCCTCTGTCTCGCTCTTTCCAACTTGCTTTCTTTCCTGTGGTGAGATCAGTTTGCACTGTGAAGCTCAGATCAGAGATTACAGTCAATAGAACTCATGGCTGTGATTAATGTGGAGGGACGAAGTGTTTGATTAAAAGCTGAGCTGACACAAACTTGCATGCACGCACACTCTCTCCAAGCTGGATATCCTAGTATTGCTAGATAGATATGGGGAAATTCTACTCTCCCAAGCTGTTTTCTTGATGCATACAGTGTATTTTCACTGTCATTTCTCAAACAGAGACAGCAAGTTTGTTCAGCAAAGGCAGAGCTCTCTTCTGCTCACACACATACTCACAACCACAGGGACTATTTTGTGTTAATGATCTCTATCTGCGGGATTTTTTGTTACACTCCCACTGCCTCTTTACAGTTTTATTTCACACCTCTGAACGTGTCTCTAATTTTTTCTAATGAGCTATGTTAAATAATCAAGAGTGTTGAATTGCTTATTGCTAAAAATTCTTATTCACCCTCTTATCAATCCAAACTCCACTGTTAAAGGGGACATCGAATGCAAAATTCACTTTTATATGGCATTTGCATATTAAGTCGAGTCAATGTCTGTTTGTCAAAAATCCGGCAACTAAAAAATGTATTAGTCAGTGGCAATTTTATTGCCAGTGTAAGTAGAGGGTTATTTATTCTTTTTTTAGTAATTCATAAATTTATAATAGATTCCTTCATTTTATACTGTACTTTTACATTTAATATGCTATATACTAAGTTTTGGGGTCATGCCTTGACAGGAGTGTTGTGGAACCTGTCGTCATGTGATTCTGTGAAGATGACGATCGCTCGGGATGCTCTCGGGCCACTTACCAACACAGTCATTATCCCTCACTCTGGGTGGGGTGCGGCCCCTCAGCGAGAGGACCAGAAACTCAAACTACACTCATCTTTGGTGCTGAGGAACACCACTGGTTGCCTCAGGTGTGTTTCATGTAAATGTCTCCTAAGAAACGTCTGATTAGGTGTACCAGCTGTCACGGTGCGTGCGGGGAGATGAAGCGAGGACTCAATCGCTGGAGAAATGGTACTTTATTTTGGTAAAAAATGAAACAAAAACAAACTCAAACCACCCCGAGGGGGAAAAACAGACAGGCAGAGCTAAAGCTGCACACATGCAGACACGAAACACACACAATGAGAAATGACGGATCAGCACAGGACGGCAGACACAAGGAGAATAAATAGGAACCAAACGAGGAGGCTAACGAGGGAGACACAGGTGGAGCAACTAAAACAGTAACGAGGTAACAAGATGGGAGGGGCCAGACAATAGACAGGAGAGAGCACATGGCAACAGACAAACACAACACAAGCCATGTGCTCCCAGAACACAGTCATCTGGTGGCCCTCCTGGGCACACCGGCTGAAGACTGTGACACCAGCCTAATTATATAGAGCTTCCTGTTAAGATCGATTAATCAATAGTCATTTAGATAACCTGCTGACTAGTTGATTTTTTAAATATATAGTTTTGCACATCACTGGTAGTAGCAGCATTACTCTTCATCCTCAGAGATGATAACTATTTACATTTTTAAGTGAGAATGATTGTTTTATATAATTCAGATTGCATCGTTGACCACATGATGCTGATGTGTGTGTGTGTGTGTGTGTCTCAGGAACCTAAGCTCAGCTGGAGAAGAGGCCAGAAGGCAGATGCGTTGCTGTGAAGGGCTGATTGATTCCCTCCTTTATATAATCAAAACCTGCGTAAACACCTCTGATTATGACAGCAAGGTTAGAAATATTCTTGTGATTGAATCTAAAAACCATCCAGTTCTGATGTACAACAGTCTATAAATTATTGGTAATATTTCATACATTCTTGCCAGATATTTTACTAATTTTCTGTCTGTATATCTGATGACAGCTGAGAACTGGCAGAGCCTAATGTTGCTTATTAAAAGGTGTTGCATGTTTTCTGTGGCACTCCTTGAATGGCCAAAAAATAATGAGTGCCTCTAGTGGTGAAGCACAGCATTGTGCAGCTTTGGTTATTTCTTTATGAAATCTTAGTCTTAGCATGCCATCTGCTGGAACAGGAAGCGAGGAATCCAAAAAAATATGTTAAAGGGGTCATATGATGCGATACACTTCAACCCAAATATTCAGATGTGTGAAGCACATTTTATGGAGGACCGTTTGGGAGAGTAGACTACAATGCTGGCTGTTCTGACTCAAAGACTGAAAGTATGTTTTTTATATTTAAAGAGTTTTTATATTTTATATATTTAAAGCGAGTTTTTTGGACAGTTTAGAGTAGGGCTTGTTGTTTGTCATTTCTCCGATCACAAATGCAGACATGGTTTTATGTTTACGCGGCGAGATGCAACGCGTAAAAAGACAGTATAAGTCATTATAATCCATAATTATGACCCCACTGGATGCAATGAATGCTTAGTTTATAATGGGTTTTCATGTTTTGAATCATCGCTCCGGCCTGACAGGGCATCATCACAATATGGTAAGGGGCGTAACATTTCCGTCACACGCTTGAGGTATTCGGCCAATCATAACGCACTGGATAGCTGGCCAATCACAGCACACCTCGCTTTTTTAGGACGATGAGCTTTGTAAAAATCGATGCGTTTCAGAAAGGCAGGGCATAGAGGAGAAACAATAATGTACAGTATGTGGAAAATAATGTTTTTTGAACCTTAAACCGCATAAACACATTTCATTACACCAAATACACCAAATAATGTTCTTTTTAGCAGCATCATATGACCCCTTTAAATATTTTTATTATATTTATGTTAAATAATTTTAATTAATAATAATTAGTAATAATAAAAATAGTGATTGTTGTTTTTAAATTAACCCATCAACAAAATTGGGATTTTTGAAGAATATCCAGTACACTCTTTTCAATATAATGAGGATTGGGCCTGTTGATGTCCAAAATATTATACATTTCCTTCCTTACCCTTTTTTGTTTTCCTGTGTTTTTAGATTGTGGAAAACTGTGTGTGCACTTTGAGGAACCTGTCATACCGTCTTGAGCTGGAGATGCCTCCGTCTCGGCTGATGGGGGCCCAGAATCTGGACACGCTCCTGGGCCCTGACACCTCCAGTAAGCAGGCCGACTACAGCTGCTGGGGGCTCAGAAAGAAGAAGAAGAAGAGGTCCTGGCAGGATCAGCAGGTAATCTATCACTAAATCAAATGAGCTTGGATTCCATGTTCTGAAAGCTTATGATTGCTTTTGTGCTCAGTTATCAAAAGATTTGGGATTGTGTGAAAGAGAAATTAATTTCAGCCAATAGTCATGGAAAACCTGGAAACATCAGTACATTTTAAAATTGAGATTTCCAGCTCTGGAAATAATGGAAATTAATACAATCTTCAAACAGTTATGGAAAAGCCATGGAAATTCATATTTTCAGTTTCAGCTCAGCTGTAAAAGTTATTTATATTTGAACAAAATATTTGATTTTGAGTGCAGCCTCTATAAAATTATTTTTCTAGTTTTATTTTATTTTAAAATTAGCTGTCATTTTAAATAACTAATGATTATATAATAAAATAATAATAATACATTCATAAAAATGTTTGTTTTTCACATTTTATGTTTAGAGAAGCCAGTTTAGTAGTTGCTACAGAAAGTTATTTTTACTGAATATCCACAGCTAAAACTAACCTATTACTATTTGTGTAATCCTGATGCAGTGGGATGGTGTGGGGCCTATTCCAGGATTTTCTGGAAGTCCAAAGGGCGCAGAGATGCTGTGGCATCCATCTGTGGTAAAACCTTACCTCACTCTGCTGGCAGAGAGCTCAAACCCAGCCACGCTGGAAGGGGCAGCTGGGTCTCTGCAGAATCTCTCCGCCGGAACCTGGAGGGTAGGCTGCTTGAGGTCACTATAACATAAACTCAATTATACAGCCACAGTGTTCAAAATAGAACTGAATTATATGGATGCCATAATTGGCTGGTGGATGAAGAGTATGTCCTGCACGCACACACACAGACACACTATTTGATTAGATGTAGCCTCAAGGTTCTTATAAAGCAACAGTTTTTGTTTTCTTTTCTTTGCATCCTTTATTTTGGAAATGCTTCTAGACTAGATACCTAGAGATAGTGTTTTGATTGCATCACATTCACTGTTTTTAAAATTCAGTAAACGTTAATGCAAATTCTTGCTTCACTGAAAGATAATAACCTTCTTTTTCTCTTTCTTTCACCATTCAGTTTGCGGCCTACATCCGTGCTGCTGTACGTAAAGAGAAGGGTTTGCCCATACTGGTGGAGCTACTAAGAATGGATAATGACAGGGTTGTCTGCGCTGTGGCCACTGCTCTACGGAACATGGCTCTCGACGCCAGGAACAAGGAGCTCATTGGTCAGTCACTAAAACTTATTGGTTACTTAGTGCAAACTTAGTACAATGCTTTACATTCCATTTTTATGCTGGTTTTAAAAACTGCATTGCATCTTCTAAAATAAATGTTTGCTGAATTCGGTTTGCTTTGAAAGGAAAATACGCCATGCGGGACCTAGTGACCCGTCTCCCTGGCAATGGGCCGTCCCTGCTGTCGGATGAGACAGTGGCGGCGGTCTGCTGTGCGCTGCACGAGGTCACCAACAGGAATATGGAGAACGCCCGTGCTCTCGCCCAGACGGGCGGCATCGACAAACTGGTTACAATCAGCAGAGGACGTGGGGAGAGGTGCATACCTCTTTTTATGGGCTGTTTGAAGTGGGCGGTTTTATATGTCCATTGGTGTTGTCACACTGTTTCATAACAAAATCCTTTTTTTTTCTTTGATTGTCCCAGTATCCACCTTTTTCTTCAACGCGGAAGTAAGCCTATGGGCAAGACTTCCGGTTCATTAGCCGCTATAGGGAAATAACGAGAAGAATAACAATGTGCAGTAAACTGTAAAACTGTTTGCATTATAAACCAGTGTGTTAGTAATTATGACAACACATTCAAATAATATGGTAAGACACACCAATTTTCAATATCAAGCAGCAAAACGAGTGGTTCTGTACAGCTAAAAATAGCTGGACGCGGATAAAACCGGAAGCCAGACCCATAGAATTTACAAATCTCTGCACCCATTTTTACGGGAAGAAAAAGGTGGATATCTTTAATAATATCTTATTCTCTGTGGCAGGTACTCCATGAAGGTGGTCAAGGCAGCAGCTCAGGTGCTAAATACTCTTTGGCAGTACAGAGATCTGCGTACCTTTTACAAAAAGGTACATGTTCTCAACCATTGCTCTGTGGTAAAGGATTCTACTGTTCTCGTGATATCCATTCTGTAGGATCTGATCAAAAGTGCACAGCAAAAAAATGTGTGTGCACTGCAAAAATGTTCACAATCAATATTTTTGTCTTGTTTTCCAGTGAGAAATATATAGCAGTAGACTTTTATATACAAAAAAAAAAAAAAACTTAATACAATAGCAAAGAAGTCTGGAAAGCACAATACATCGAACACCATTACAGAGACATCTACGACAAACTAAAGAGGCAGACACATGGCAATATATACAGTCATGGCCAAAAGTTTTGGCAGTGACATAAATTTTGTGCTTTGCAAAGTTGCTTCAGTATTTGTAGATTATTTTTCCACATGTTTCTATACTGAAAAACAACGATAAGCATATCATAAGTTTTAAAGGCTTTTATTGCCAAAAAAATTTAATTAGTCAATATTTACAGTGTTGACCCTTGTTCTTCATAATCTCTGCAATTCACTCTGGCATGCTGGATATTAGCTTCTGGGCCAAATCTTGACTGATGGCGATCCATTCTTGCCTTATTAGTTCTTGGAGTTGATCACAATTTGTGGGCTTCTGCTTGTCCACTCACCTTTTGAGGACTGACCACAGATTCTCTATGGGATTAAGATGGAGTTGCCTGGCCACGGATCCAAAATTTCAATGTAATGATCTTCGAGCCACTACTTTGTCACTCTTGATTTGTGACATGGTGCTCCATCATGCGGGAAAATGGATGCATGGATCATCACCAAATTGCTCATGGATCGTTGGAAGAAGTCGCTCTTGCAGGACGTTTTGATACCATTCTTTATTCCTGGCAGTGTTTTTGGGCAGAATTATGAGAGAGCCCAGTCCCTTGGTTGAAAAGCAACCCCACACATGGATGGTCTCAGGATGAGTCACTGTTGGCACAACACAGGACTCATGGTAGCGTTCACCTTTTCTTCTCCGAAAAAATAGATTTTCCTGATGTCTCAAACAGTCAGAAGGGAGCTTCAGAGAAAATAACTTTGCACCAGTCTTCTGCTGTCCAATCTTTGTACTTCCTGCAGAATTTCAGTCTGTCCTTGACGCTTTTCTTGGAGAGAAGTGGCTTCTTTGCTGCCCTTCTTGACACCAGGCCGTTGTCCAAAAGTCTTGGCCTCACTGTGCGTGCAGATGCTCTCACACCAACCTGCTGCCATTCCTGAGCAAGCTCTGCACTGCTGGTGACACGATTCAGTAGCGGACTCCTCAGGAGGAGACGGTCCTGGCTCTTGCTGGACAATCTGGGACATCCTGAAGACTTCTTCACTGCAGTCGAACCTCTCTCCTTGAAGTTCTTGATGATCCGGTAAATGGTTCTTTCAGGTGCAATATTCTTTGTAGCAATTTCCTTGCATGTGAGGCCATTTAGATGAAAAGCGATGTTGGCTACATGTGTTTTTTTGGAGGTAACCATTGCTAACAAGAACACAATGATTGGAAGCGCTTCTACAATCTAATTAGTATGATAGTGATTTCACCTGACTAGTGCTCATTCACACTTTCACATGTGATGCTGATATGATTAGTCAATTAATGTTAGCTGGTCATTTTGTGACAGGATCAAAAAACAGTGAAATTTGTTTTTTTGTGAAAAGTTAATTTTTTTGGCCAATGAAGCTTTTAGCAATTATTTAAAATGCATCTGATCACTCTACACAATCATCTAGAAACAATGTGAATGAACACCACAACAGCAAAACAGGTGGTGAACATAATTAGTAATCATGACAGCTAACAGGAAATAAGATGCATTCAAGTCCTCCTAGGAAGCTTGTATTTCCGAATTGGGAAGTCGTAATTATGATGTCAGGTGTGTTCAAGTCACTTTAGTTGGAGCAAGTTGGTGAAGTACCATTTCTACATATTCAACATATTCTACAAATTCATATATTCAGCTTAGTT